TTGCCACTGCCACGATCGGTCATTATCTCTATAACTTCAATTTTGCCATACTGTTCAAAGTAATCCCTCAAATGGTGTTCCTCTGTATCTTCCTTAATCCCCCCAACAAAGATTTTCTTCACTGTCAAATGTGCTCCAGGTCTCTGGGAATCCTGAGGCAGGACAAAAAAAACATTTTAAAATCTAATATTTGTGGCTGCTTGGTGATTATCCACACCGTCAAATAACACACGATGTATCTTAAAGACATATTTAAAATGTCAAGCCTATAAATTGCAAATTTTAAAATACTGTAACTCTAAATTTACAGAGCAGCTTTCTCCAAGCTGGCACTGCAGAATAGCAATTCATTTAAATCTCAGCCAACATATTGGTAGAATAGAAGGGAGGAGCAATTAACACTAAATTCTGTTTTTCTCCCAAATGCAATTCATGAATGATTTTTAAAAAAGAACTTATTTAAGAAAACTTATATGCACAGATCATAGCAAAATATCATAAAAACAAATAAAACAATTTAAATTAAAAGCCAGTAAAATTTACAAAATAAATTTAAACCAAAGATGCCTAATGCAGCAATAAACTGTTAAGCCAACCATATTATCAATGTTCTGAGTAGGATTCCTGATTGCAATGTTTTGGGCTTCCAGCATTTTTGCTAAGATTTTGAACTAGTTGACTATGCATACAACAGTGGTTCTTACCTCTCTAGATACTGCTCTCTTTGGTTCAACAACTCTACCATCAACCTTGTGTGGTCTGGCATTCATGGCAGCATCAACCTCTTCCACTGTTGAGTAAGTGACAAATCCAAACCCCCTGGAGCGCTTAGTATTAGGATCTCTCATTACCTAAGAAGAAATAACATACATTTTTGCTCTAAAATACACAAGTGCAAGCAATGTACCTGGTGCAAGCAATGTTTAATTTAGAACAGGGGTGTCAAACTCGCCACGTCATGTGACATATTGCGACTTTTTCCCCATTGCCGGAGCTGGGGTGGATGTGGTTTCGGCCTGCGGGTCGGCAGTTTGACACCCCTGGATTTAGAAAAAATGAATTACCCCATTTTCTTGGAAATAGTGATATACTAAAAGCAACATTAACAGTTAATGTAGTAGTTGGGAGATTTTCTTTTTCTGACTATTCTATACTTCCTGTATCTTAATTCAGACACAGATATTTATTAAAATTGTTTGCCACCCATCTTGACATAAGGTGACATATACTTACCACACAATCTGTAAGTGTGCCCCATTGCTCAAAATGATTGCGAAGGCTCTCATCTGTTGTCTCAAAACTCAGGCCACCAATAAACAGTTTTCGCAGCTGTTCAGGTTCCTTGGGGGACTGAAACAGAAAAGTAAGCAACACTAGGAAGGATATGATCACAGCTTATTATTATTATTTATCAAATTTATACCCCGCCCTTCTCCTAACGGACTCAGGGCGGCTTACAGCCAGTTAAAACAGATAACTAATACAATAATACTAATTTTAAAATATGATTAAAATGAAATATTCATTATTGGCCGTTTCTTTTTAAAATTATTTTAAAAACCAAATTAAAATACCCCTTAGGCCAGTCCGGCT